ATAATATAGTGAAGAGCAATTTTTTTTAATGAATCGCATGAATTTTGCTGCTGTCAGAGTTTGAGCGCCATAACTGTGAGAGGAAAACTGTCATTGTGTGTGTGTGTATATGTGTGTGTGTGTGTGTGTGTGTGTGTGTGTGTGTGTGTGTGTGTGTGTGTGTGTACAGATAGATGGTTTGTCTTTCTCAGATCACATGGCAGCGATGTACCGTACCTCCATGGCGAGAGCAGCAGTTTGCTGGTCATAGTGGTTCAGGACGTTGGGCATGAAGGTGGAGTTGTAGGGCAGCCCCTGACACATGCGCAGGGTGATGGGCTCACAGGTGAACAGACTGTGGCTCCCAGCCACAGCATCCATGGGGACGGCAACACACACGGTCAGCATGGACACGGAAAGCACCCACAGGAGATCCATGATCCGTACGGGAGAAAAGAAGCAAGACCCAGGAGACGGCGGCTCACGGAGAGGGCTCGAGCCCTGTCAGCATCGTGGGCTTTAACCAGGAAGTGGGAAAAATGACCAGACTTAAGGACTATCTGTTTGCCCCTTCCTCCTCGTTAGATCACAGAGAAACACCGTGGGCTGAGCAGCGTAATCCAACAGGGCCAAGTTGGCTGCATCCATCACCATGACTACACTGAGTCACAGGGCCTCCATCACCTAGGTGATGCTGTGGTCCTTTAAGATGCTGAAAACACTCCTCCGTCTCCTGCCTTCACAGACGGCGATGATGCTGGAGGAAATATGAGCGACGACCCCCTGTGGAAACGATGCTCTGCCTGCAATCAGAAGAATACAGTACAGCAGCTTGTAAATGTAAATGTTAGACGTTAGTGGTCCATTAATTACAACAAGTGCAAACCAAAAGGAAACCTTTTAACTGAAAAAATGGACTAATTGTAAGCGGAGCAGCACACAAACGGCTGCTTTTCAGGTCACTGACTATGGCTGGGTTCTGCCCATCAGTGCCCACATTAAATGCATTATTAAACAGCAATAGATCATTACAAAATAAGCAAATGAGCGAGCATTTAAAGGGCAAGTCTGAGGAGATTTACTCTGCGTCCCGCAGTACTTCTGTAGTAATAACAGTGGTAATAGCAGCAGCTGTGGTAGTAGACACCTCCGACCATTAATAATATTATTATTTTTACAGTTATCTGCACTAATCACAGCTCAGAAACTGTTTAAGTCATTTATTAAAGTTATTTGTTATTTATAGAGCACATTTTTATCCATCGCTGCAGCACACACCCTTCCCAGCCCCGCACCTTTCCCCCCGACCAACACGTCAAACACGGCCTCTGCTCCGTCGCACCTGCCGGTGTCTAACCCGGCCGCACTTCAACTTTCATTATTAACGCGACACAAGCGCGTCCATTAGCCTACCTGTGCGTCAGCGCTAACGGGCTCCTCCTATAGCTCCTCACCGAGACTCAGGCACTAATTGCTGCTCATACATGGGAGTGTACTGCCGAGCGTTACACGGAGGCTCGTCGCGGTTGCCGCTGTAACTGACCCGCAGCAATAAAAACGAGCGACCTGAGCCGAGAGAAGCGTGAACGCGGCGCGGCGCAGACAAAAGATGACGGTTAGTTCATCCTGACTCACGGTAACCGCTCCGCACCGGTGCATTCAGTCACCGAGCCGGGCGGCAGCGGAGGCGGTGGTCTACGAGTAACACCTCCACACCCGCTGAATTTAACGCAACTTTACCTGAACGCTGTCCGCAAAATTCGGGGAGTAAGCGGGGTCTTCGCCGCTCCTCGAGTTGGTAACAATGACTGAATGTCCCTCCACCAGCACCCTCCTCTCCTCCTCTTGTCCTCTTCCTCCGTCCTCCTCCCCCGCTCTCCCCCCTCTAAGCAGAGCGACAAGTGCGCGAGACTTTTTTAACGGCTTCCGCTACGGACTATCAAATTAAAAGCCTCTTCCACAAACGCCCGACTTCGTGGACGCCAAAACACGACTACAGTGAGCTTTAGTCGAGCTGAATACAGGTGAAAGAAGCGATACGCTGTTTGCCACCTTAGTCGCGGATGTTGGCCCAATTTATTGCAACATACAAAAATATAAAAACTTGTTTTAGTTCAACAATAAAAGTTAAAAGTGTTGAAAATTGTGCTTAAATGATTTACATTTGATATGCCCACCTTTGTTTACAACTCAGCCTGAACTCCCAGAGTCAAGCTTTCTTGTCATTTCTTTAAATATCCTCAGGAATAGTTCTCAGGCTTCTTGAAGGACATTCAAACAAGGGCGTCATTTCCAGGGGGGTTATGACCCCCCCTCCCTGGAATGTACCCAGATTTATTTCTTTTGTTTGACAGAGGTCTTGCGTTTCTATCCAGGTATGTTTTTAGTGCATTGGCCGTGTGTTTGAGATCACCGCCTTGCTGAAAAATAAAGAAATTGAATCAGATTCTTTCCACCTGGGACTGCATGGTGGATGAAAACTTGACGGTGCTTTTCTGTGTTCATAATTCAATCAGTTTTGACAAGATCTCCAACAGCACTGTCTGAAAAGCAGCCCCAGACCACGGCAGAGCCTCCAGTGTTTTAAACATGGTTGTAGAGACTTCTTCTTGTACCTCTTTCCTGATGACCCCTCGACATACTGATTAATCCAATACTTGAAACGAAGAATTTCACATCCAACCTGTTGTCATTGATTTTCATCCCAGTTCTTGTGTGAAGTGGCATACCTCAGCCTTTTCTCCCTGTTTCACTTCCTGAACAATGGCTTCTTGTCAGCCACCCTTCAAAGCATTTCTGATGAAGCGTCAGTGAACAGTAGACGGATTATCTGAAGCTCCAGATGCATCTCTCAGGTCCCGTGTCAGGTCTTGGGTGGATTTTTTCCCTTGTTTGTTAAGGACATGGCGTTTAGATATTGGGATCTGCTGCAGATGGTTTTGGCTGACAGCTTCCTGTTTGTCCTCCACATGTCTAGTTTTCAAAATGATATAATCCAGCTAGTACATAGTTAAAGCCAAACAGTTGTGCTCTTAAGTTTACATTAAGACATTTGTGTAGTAAATTTCACAATTCTGAACTTGTGTAATATGGCTGGTTTTTGGTTTTGCTGTAATAGTTTTCAGCTAACAGCTCTTTGGGAATCATCTTAATGGTGCAAAGTGATCGTTTGGTGCCAAACTGTGTTGCTGTAGGTGGTGTTTGTAGGTTCAGCTTAACCTTTGGGACCAAATATGCTTTTGCGACTGGTTGCTAGTGCTTAGTGCTTAAAATACATATTTAAAACTGCTTCTTTGCTGACGTCCTGTCTGTTATGTGTAGAGTAAACAGCGGCTGTGTTAGGTGTTATTTCATGCTGACTGGTCACAGGTCAGGTTTAGGCGGCTTAAAGACGGAGAGAAGGACGAATCTTTAAATCTCGTCAGAGAGACTTTGAAAGACTTCTTGGTGTCTTTGCTTTTCCAGTGAAACAAACGTTTCTTCGTCAGTCCAATAAAGAGTGAACTATTACTTTGAAGGCACAGGGCTCGTTTCCGGTTACACTCCCGCGTGTCTAACTTGACGCAGTTCTCCGTTTTCCTTCGCAGCAGGTTTTCTGTCCTCGTTGCGCGCGACCGCCCATCCGAGAACGAGCAGGCTTTGAATCAGAAACTTGTGTGACTGCTGGGAGTGAAAGCGTGGAGCTGGAGGCCTGCGGGACAGCAGACACAGCCCTGAAGATGCTGTTGGTTTATGATTCTTATTACACACCAACTGTTGGTTATTACTCCGTAAACAGATTCGTTTGTCCGGGCTTATTACTGCTGGTTCTGCTGCTGCCACAGTCAATAATAATGCTTTGTTTTTCTGTTGCTGTGTCAGCCAATGCGGAGCAGATGGTCTTTATAGTAACTGCAGTGTCAGGACTTCTGCACCACGTTTGTCATCATTAGAGCGAGGGAGGCCCGCACACTCTGCTTTTCTCTGCAGCGACTCCCACATCACCGCCTCCATGTGTGTCACGGGCTGTGACAAGCAGGAGAGCCTACACTCACGGTTACTATGGAAACAAGTAAACTATCCACGGGGAAGTAGGAGAAAGAAGTGTGTGGGCACCAAGGCCGAGCGCGCACCTACAGAGTGAGTTTGGAGCTGGATTTCTTTCTGCGAGCTGAGCTGAGGAGCTGCGGGTGAGTGAAACACCGCAGGACGGTGTTAGTGTTGGCTGGATTTTAAAAACATGGAACTATTAGGCACTCCCGCTTCATGTACACACATGAACACAATGTGAGGAAAAGCAACACATACCTGAGTAGCAGTTACTGTTTTTGTATCCTAGAGCATCATCTTTGTTGACGCACTCTGTGATGGCACTTGCAGCAAGATCTTCTGCAAGCTGTTCGAAGACGCAGACCAAACGGAGCACCTGGACTCCTCTGAACAACCCGCGGGCCAACAGCAAGGTCACATCAGCTCACACTGAAACTGTGCCGTCAGCCAAAGGGTGGCTGGTAATAGTTTCAGTAACTTTTATAAGATGTACAGCAGTGTCGTAGAAAGTAAAACTAACTACATCTTTTGATGGACGTGACAAAATGTAAATGTCTGTGTTAAAGCTGGTGAAGTAGAAAAGGGGGACACAAAAGTACAGACCTGAGTACATAAAACAGCTCTAACAGTGGAGTCAAGCGACCCTCAGCTTCTTTTTAAATGTTCCCTTCGCTGCAGTAAGATTTATGTCTGTTTCAGCCTGTGCTTGCAGGACCAGGTGTTTGCCTGACGCACTCTTGAAACCCCCCAAAATTATCCACAATAAAATAATTTGATTACATCTAAATTGAATTTACTTTATTGGCATACATTCAGTTTATATGAAGCTAATTTTTCTTAATGACTAATTATTTAAATAAATAAGCCTTAGATTTTAATTTTTCTTTAAATTATTGCTTCCTGTTTATTCCGCCAATTTGATTAAATTTTTTTAACATATGTGTTTAGTAAACACAGTCACAAAGCAGGAAATCATAATAATGTCCGTGGATGATCTAGACAGGCAATAATATCTAAATTAATTTGCAAATATTAGTTTTTTTACTTTATAGTTATTTTAAAGAAATTCCTTTTAATGAAATGCATTCATTCATTTATTTGCATCTGTGTACTGGTTGCATTGGTCACTTCATTGGTTCTGGTCCTGCTTCATTATGTAAACAAAGGCGCTGTCATTAAAAGAGCTGAGCTTCTGATTATTTGTGGATCAGCAGCAGGCTGTGACTGCCCTCACTGTCAGAACAACACCGGGCTGGCTTTGCTTTAGTGTGGAAGCTTGAACGACATTGGCTCATTTCCTTGTTTTCTGTTTGACGGTGTTGGTCTTCCATAAATACCAAGTTCCTCGAAAGATTAAACAACTAAAAACTTTAAAACTGAATACTTTGGATACTATAGTTGTTAACCTTTGTCACTGTTGTCTCATTGTAGGTGTTTGAAGAGAGACGAAGCCTTCTAGCAAAGTGGGTATGTGTGAGCAGATGAATGAAGAAGCACCTAATGCGCCCTTACAGTGATCCCAGCGTGAGCTGAAGCCCACACAAATCCAGCTAGCAGTTAGAAACCATGCTGTGCTCACTGCTTTTCTGCTGTATTCTTTCATGTCTTTACCAGTTTGACAGGTGGTCTGACAGTCAGAGGAAGGCGGTGCTGCAGGACTTTGTGTTGAGCTGTTCAGTGGAGCAGCTCAGGTTCCTGAGCCTCAGTGTGAGCAGACAGCTCCCCCTGCAGGCCGCAGACTTCACCTGCCTGCTCCCCAGAGCCCTCTCCCTGTATCTCTTCTCCTTCCTGGACCCACGCAGCCTCTGTCGATGTGCCCAGGTACACGTGGATTCATTTATGGGGAGTGACGTAAAGTTTTGACCCTTGTTCTTGTGAAGAAGTCTGGTAAATGAATGATTCGATCCTCCATGCGCAGGTGAGCTGGCAGTGGAAGAGCATTGTGGAGCTGGACCAGCTGTGGATGCCCAAGTGTCTGAGGCTCGGCTGGCTCCTCAGCTCCTCCCCGACACCATTCGAACAGGGCGTCTGGAAGAGACACTACATCCAGACAGTCCAGGAGCTGCGGCTGAGCGTCCTGCAGGTTAGGAGATCCCGAAGAGATTTAAACAATTATCCTACCTTTGTTTAACAACTCGATAACACAAAATAACATTAAAATCTAGCTTTCAAAAAACAAAACAAAAGACCCTTTTTTTCCCAGGGTGCTTCATCGCAGCAGCAGTTTGTGGTTTCAGATGTCGCAGCAGCAAGCCGTGGTCACAAAGAGCCGTCAGAAATAGCAGCCATCAGGTTGGAGGAGTGTCCAGCATCCACCAAGCAGCAACCTGGAAGCAGCTCCAGCACAAGACTGAGACAGGAGAAGCAGCCAGGTGCACCCCCACCATGGAGAGACTCTGACAGACGTCCCAAAGACACACTGCGCTTCAACTACCTGGACAATCTGGACCCCATCGAACAGGCGCTGAGAGCGTAAGACGGCAGGGAACATTTGCTGAATCACGTCTGGCATTAATGAGGCTTTAAGGTTCTTTATAGTGACGGCCCCACAGTGGCTGTAGCTCAGGTGGTAGAGTGGGTCACCTACTAATTGGAAGGTTGGTGGTTTGAGCCCCGTCTGCTCCAGTCTGCCAAATATCCTTGGGCACGACACTAACCCTAAGA